ATTTGAACATACCACTATGGTGACTAAAACTACACACTTCCTTTTAAAAGGCCTTACCAGTAAGTGCACAATTTTTAAAAATTTGTATATAATGGGTCTTATATAACCTAACCTGTCAACATGCCTTTTCATTTAACAGTTGCATTTTCCACTATTAGTCATCCCTAAGCACAGAATTTTCTAGAAATCACATTAGCAAATAGGGCCAGTCCACTCTGAAGGCCAAGCAGTAATGGGTCACTTCACCCCCCAAGGCTACCCACCCCCATGTGCCAAGAATCCCTGGATTCCTTGAGTTATGCTGGGCCTGAATTTGCCATGCCATCTTTGCCCTGGAGTTCTGAGGTGACTTGGCTTCCTAGGCGTTTCCTACGCATGGTTAAAGGGCAGCACAGCTCTTGGGCCCAGGGGACAGGAGTAATGCCAGCAGCCACCGCCCCTCAAGTGATGCCATGTTCCTGCTGGATGGAGGCTGTAAAGCTTGTCTGTAAAGGAGGGCCACTGAGTAGTGGAAGAGTGTGGCATGCCTGCCAAAGGGGCTCCTCAAGACCGGCTACTACTGCTAAAACTTGTTTTAGATTTAACACATTTTGCCCAAATACAGCAGCCTGGAAATCAAACTTTGCCTGTGCTTGCTTCCACACTGCCTACCAGGGACAGCCAGCACAGGGTTTGTCCCAGCATGAAGCATAGGGTATCAACATCAAGGGACACTGTCACCAGGCCAACACTCCCTTCCATAGGCTCTGAAGAATGGTGCTTTTACCCCTTTACCTTAGACATAGAGGTGTGTTGTCTTTTGTCATGAAGCACATGGGAAGTGGTGGGTGGAGTTTCTGGTAGCCTTAGTAATAAAAGGGTTCAATATTATTTTTCTTGTCGTTTCCTCCAACCTCTCTTGCCCCTCCATTTTCTTCTGGCTTCTTTTTATTAAGGGGTGGGGGAGAGGGTATTGACCTAGGCTTTGTTCCTGAACATTCTCTCCACAGTGCCCAGCCCTGGCCCTGCTGACCTGCTCTGCACCCCTCTGGTACACTGGCCTTTGGGGCAGTGCGCAGGCACTTACTTGATCTCTTGCTTCCTGAAAATCCCTCTCCAAAGCCACACCAGACATTTTCTGCACTTCCCTCTGACGCTGGTTTACTCACTATCTGCTCATCTCCCTCTGCAAGTGTTTTACCACACAGATCTAAAGACAGGCAATGGGGGCAGTGTCCACAGACCCAACCTGGTCCACCACTGTCCAACCACGAAGATATGGGCGCATTAACACACACGAGGGATGGACTCAGAGTCAACGTAATGCGGTCAGCCTGCAGGTCCCCTGCCCCTGCCGAGGTGGCAGTTTGCTGCACATGGCTATGTGGCAGAGCTGCTGATATGACTGTGAAATGCCAGGTGTTTATCTTCACTTCATTGTTGTGAGAGTAGGTAACATGAAATCTGTCCTCCTAGCAAATGTATAGTATACAATTTTGCACAGGTTTTGTCTTAAGGTTAATTTTCCTGGGATCCTGAGAAGGCGGGCAACCCCTATGTTCTAGTGAAACTTAGTAATTCTTAGGAATACAACAAACTTCTCTGCACTAAAATTTTCCACAGATACCAGCTTCTGATGGCTTCAGATGTTCCAGTGATTGGCAGCATTCAATGGAAAATTCCAATCTGAGCTGGCTCCAAGTATGCCACAGACACGGGCTCAGACACCATGACTCATGTCTGGCCCTATACACAGGCAAGCAGGAAACAGCAAACTCATTTTGAACCAAAGGGACAATGGGGAATTTCCTGATGTGGTTTATCTTCCTTGGATGTGTTAAACATTTCATCTTTAGTTGTACAAACACTAGATTCATTACTGAAATTTCCTGTTCTCAAGCATGGATTTGTGTGTGTGTGTGTATTAAACTAGGTACCTAAGTGCTTTGCCAAGGCCAAGTTCACCCAGATGGTGAACGGCACTGGACTGGCCCTCTTACCTTCTCTGTGTCACTGTCTATCCCAGGATAAAAGGAATAAGAAGCTGAGATGTGAGGTCTAAGAAACATTTCCTCTAAAGGCAGGAAGATGGAAAAAGCAGCATCTAAAAGAATTAAGTTACCAAGATAAAAGCTAAAAGATGAAAGGCACCAGCAGTAGAAAAAGGATACGGATTAATAAATTAATGAATGAGCTCAAGCATTTCCAAAAGCACAAGGAGATTCAGATATCCCTGAGTGGCCTGGCATACTTGATCTTATTTCTGGATTAAAGGAGTGCAATTTGTGCCACTAGGGGACAAATACCAAACTAGAAGTGGAAATACCTGGCTCTTTCTTCAACTAAAAACATGGCCTCAATTCTAACTCCATGAATTCAATGTCAAATTCTGTAGTTTTCCAAACCTCCCCACCCACAGCGCCCCCCCCAAAAAAGTTCAATCTAAAATGTTTCCAAAATGCAAATTAAAACCACACTAAGATTCCACCTCACCCCTGTTAGAATAGCCATCATCAGCAACACCACCAACAACAGGTGTTGGCGAGGATGCGGGGAAAAAGGAACCCTCTTACACTGTTGGTGGGAATGTAGACTAGTACAACCACTCTGGAAACAAATTTGGAGGCTACTTAAAAAGCTGGACATCGATCTACCATTTGATCCAGCAATACCACTCTTGGGGATATACCCAAAAGACTGTTACTCCAGAGGCACCTGCACATCCATGTTTATTGCGGCACTATTCACAATAGCCAAGTTATGGAAACAGCCAAGATGCCCCAGCACTGACGAATGGATTAAGAAAATGTGGTATCTATACACAATGGAATTTTATGCAGCCATGAAGAAGAACGAAATGTTATCATTCGCTGGTAAATGGATGGAATTGGAGAACATCATTCTGAATGAGGTTAGCCTGGCTCAAAAGACCAAAAATCGTATGTTCTCCCTCATATGTGGACATTAGATCAAGGGCAAACAGAACAAGTGGATTGGACTATGAGCACATGATAAAAGCGAGAGCACACAAGGGAGGGGTGAGGATAGGTAAGACACCTAAAAAACTAGCTAGCATTTGTTGCCCTTAATGCAGAGAAACTAAAGCAGATACCTTAAAGCAACTGAGGCCAATAGGAAAAGGGGACCAGGAACTAGAGAAAAGGTTAGATCAAAAAGAATTAACCTAGAAGGTAACACCCACGCACAGGAAATCAATGTGAGTCAATGCCCTGTATAGCTATCCTTATCTCAACCAGCAAAACCCCTTGTTCCTTCCTATTATTGCTTATACTCTCTCTACAACAAAATTAGAGATAAGGGAAAAATAGTTTCTGCTGGGTATTGAGGGGTGGGAGCGGGAGGGGGTGGAGTGGGTGGTAAGGGAGGGGGTGGGGGCAGGGGGGAGAAATGAACCAAGCCTTGTATGCACATATGAATAATAAAAGAAAAATGAAAAAAAAAAAAAAAGAGCAAAAAAAAAAAATAAAAATAAAATGTTTCCAAAACAAATGGTCAAGATTTCTCAGCAAAAGTTGCATTATTACAAAAAAAGTTGCATTAGGTTTTGTGGATATATTGCTATTTTCAACTTTGGAGAGGAAACTGACACAGACCTGTCTCTTATTTCTGGATCAAAAGGAACGAGGAGTGCAAATTATGTGCTACCACATCCTACCCCACTTCACCAAGGGGATAAGAAGTGCATGTTGACTGAGTTCCAGGGCAACAAAGCCCTGTAACCCTACCTGGCTGTGCTGAAGCCCAGACAGGGAGGGCATCCGGCACCCTTTTCATGAGAGCCAGAGCAGCCACTATTCTTAGAGAAGTGACCCAACTGCAACAGCTAAGTCACCATGTGTCCAAAGCAAGCATCAACTCAAACTCAACAATACAAAGCAGTAAACACGAGCTTCTCATAGAACCTCAGAGCCAGTACTCAGTGCACAAATGCTGAAATACATGTGCGCTGAGAAAACCTCCATATTCTTTCTAAAAAATCTGCACAGATTGTGAAGATTGAAATATCTAATTGGTTTAAGGGAAGATGCACAATAACCATTGTCATGGCCTCTTGCTGTATGGAGATGTCAAAATAATGGTAAAAACAAACAAAAATGTTTTAATGTTAAAAGGTGCTTTTCACCATGTTTGGATTAAGAAGTGTGGAGAAACTCATCTTACAGAAGCGAAAGGATGAAGTGGAGGCTTTCATGTTACTGCTCAAAACACTGGAACAGCTGTGTCTACTGCCAATGAAACCGTCCTCTGAAGAACCGTCGCACCAGTGCACACACCAAGCCTCACACAGACAGGCTGAGCAGACACACATGGGTACACTTCTTACACACTTGCCCCTTTCTCACTTTAATGATGGTTTTCTAACATTTAAGTTGGTCAAAATTCAAAACAGAAACAAACAAAAAACTGAGCAGAGGGAGGGAGAGGAGGCCAGGAACAGTTCCATCCAGCCTTCACTTTCAGGAAAAGCAAGGAGCTATTTCGGCAGCAGGTGGGATGTTTTAACTCTCCCGATTCTGTTCCTAGGGACCCTGCTGTCCCAGAGAAAAACAGTGTGACACATTTCACCACAGGATGTATGTGAAGGAGGAGCCATGCTCTGAGCTATGCCTGGCCTAATGCCTGGCTACCGCCTCTGCACTTCCACACTGGGGCCATCCATCAAGTCCCCAAACAAAGCACACAATGTCACACTGTGTCCTGAAGGGTTCTGAAACCAGCACACATTCTTTCAGAAGATGTTTCTTAACAAATAGCCAAATTGAGCCACATGCTGGTGGCTCACACCTGTAATCCTAGCTATTCAGGAGGCAGAGATTAGGAGGATTGTGGTTTGGAAAACTAGTTCAGGAGACCCTATATTGAAAAAAATTCATCACAAAAAAGGGCTGGTGGAGTGGGTCAGCTGGTAAGACCTCCTGCCTAGCAGGCCTGAGTCCCTAAGTTCAAAAGCCAGTGCTGCAAAAAAAAAAAAAAAAAAAAAAAAAAAAAAAGCCAAATTGCTACAGAATAATTAGAGTCTGTACTTACTGCTGGTGACTGTCAGTGATGCAAGAATACAGCTTGATTTTCAAAGCCTAACCCTGGAGCAACAAGACCATCACAAACTCGTTTTGACTGGTTAGAATGAACAAACTTGACAAAGTTATCACAAAAGAAAAATCAGAAGGAAATATATTCAACTGATCAGACTCAGCATTTCTCAACTATGAATCAAAATGCAGACGAAAGTTCTGTCAAGAGGGTCACACTGAAGACCACAGCTGAAGAGGAATTCTGGGCAGGATTGGCCCCTAGATACATTTTGAAATCACTTGATACTAACTTGGCACATGACATGTGAGTGGGCCAAAGGAGACCAAGTCCACTTACTATCTGCAGAATGAACAAGTAGACCCCACCTCTGGTTCTGCCCAACTCTGATTCAGAGTCACCCATATATCCCTCTGTGTGCTCACATGCTGCCCAATCACCTGGGCCCATGGCTGGACCAATCTCAGACTCTGGCACTGCAAGTCAGCTAGCAGTGAGCTCTTAATACCAAGTGGCTTGCAGAAAGGGCATGTCAACAGATCAAAACAACTTTGGTAACATTTAGATCCATCTTATTTTAGGTCTTATGGAAGACTCAGTTTTGAAAATCTGAAATAAAAGGAGGTCCTTGTTTCAGAAAATGACCTGTAGCCAGCCTAAGACCATGCCTACATTTCCACGGCGAGTTCTTTTCTGGGACTCTTTTAATATAGAATTATGTATTATCCAATAACTTTTTTTTAAAAACAAGCATCATTTCATTAGAATGAGGAAAGATGAACTCGTTTTGTTCTGCCTCATTTGCTAAAATCATCCTCTGCCCATTTCATTACTATTCTCTTCTATAGCAGCTTGGTTTATGTCTGAAATGGTTAAGAAACTCTGAAGATGACATGAGCCTAAAAGAACATTAAAAGCATGCAATGTGTCTAATATACTGCTTTCTTCTTTTCTTCAAATACCTCTTCTGCAAACTACTCAGATGCTTAAAATGCCTAGAATTCTAAGATCACTGAAACATAGAGTCGGCAGCTCCATTTCACCCTCAGCACAAGAGAAGGTAGTACTTTCATTTTTAAATAAAGGGAGTGTGTGTGTAGATTCTATGCAAAGAATAAACTCAAGATAATAAATGAAGTCATAATTTTATTATTTCCACTATTGGGAAGACGATAATCTCAATATAAGCATTTTTTCCTTTGCTGAAATCCAAATAGCACCATTTTAAGCAAAAGGTTATCTCAGTAACGTTGTGGTACTTTAAAAGGTTGGTTTCTGCTCTTCTAGTCTTTTACGTAATTATTAGCTTGTTGAACCTTTCTGTCCATTTTATATAAGCTAAATCTTAGCCATAGTTCCCTTCATGATCAACCCATACTACCTACATGAGAGCAGATGTGGACATCAGACAAGGTGCCCTGCCTCCCTCATAACTTTCAGAAGTACAATGCTCGCACAAATGAACTGAGATTCATTACACATTGCAAATTATGTATTTGTTTTCAATAACCTTTGTCACGTTTCTGTTGCCTGTTGGCCTGCTATCACTAATGCTGCAAACTTAACACATGACAGGGTCCCTGCTTTAAGTTGTTTATAGCTTGCCTTAAGGACCAGGTTAGCAAGATGCTAGACACAGCATTTTTATATCATTCCTGATGCCAAATTATGACAATAGAATTTCCCAGATCTTCAGAGAATTTTTTTTACTGGATTTTAAAGCACATTTAAGCAGCATCTCACTTGCTGTAACTGGGTAAACACAACCCAATTATGAAAATGGATGGTGACAAAACTCAGATGGACTGAACTAGAGACACCTACTCAGAAAGAGCATCAGGGCTGTTAGTAACTTCTCAGAACTCCAATTAATGTCCACTAGACAACATGGCCTGTGCAATGTAAAAGGTAAAAGGACACTACTTTAAGAATCCCATATAACACCGGTTTTTAACAACTGTGGTTTTAAAAAATAGCAGTATCTTAGGGTTTAGTGTCTGAGTACTTAATAAGCATGCTAAAATGTGTTAACTCATGTTTAGATTTGAAAATGTACCATCAGTGTGAAGCAGTGCATTGAACTCTGCATCAGGAGATAAACCATGCTGCTGACCAACAAAAAAACCAGAGACATACAGATCCCCTGTCGCAACTCTCCCCACCCTAGAAAGAAAAGGTTTCCAAGCATGGCACATTCATTTAAAAAGTGTTCTAACAGAATGATTATCAAACACACATTTTTTTCACTGGAAACTCTTCTCTAAATGTAGCCGAGCCAGGCATCTGATGCCAAGCAGCAGGGATCAGGCGAAACCTGACATTGTCTTGTTGTAGCAGCCAAGTCAAAACAATCAAGTCAAAGCAATGACCTCTAAAAAGAAGCCTCTTCCTCCTCCAATGCCTATCCGAGAGTTAGAATGGAAGGAAAAGCTGTTAGTGCAAAGCCCTCTCTGCCCCCAAGACACACTCCATAATCACAGTAACTTGCCTATCTGACAACCACTGATCCAGTCCAAGTGGATAGTTTAATGATAGCTTCGCTATAAAAAAAATCAAGTAGAATGTTTGAGCAAGGATATTTTCCTTCAATACCACATAAAAAGCAGGAGCTACAACCTTAAGATTTACTCCAAAAAGCAATTCACATTAACTGTGATGCTAAGACAGTGAGGAGTCACTTAGGTAAGCCAAGGAGGCCTGGGGGAAGAGCGCCAGCTCCATGGTAGCTTGGCACCATCTGTGGTCTCCCAAACCTTGACCTGCTTAAGAACTTCAAGCTTGAATAGCTAATGAAAAATATTTGATTTTTGATTTTAACAAAAAAACTTTATAAAACTTTCTCTTTTCCTCTGAGAGCTTAGCTAAAAAGGATGCAAACGAGTCACACAAAAGTATGTTGTTCTAGGTAATCAACACCAATATACAAGTTTGAAAAAGTATTAATGGTTGTATATTTGCTTTTAAAAATGTGATTTTGATAAGCTTCAGGTAAAAGTCATTTTTAAAGGGTCCATTTTTCACTTACATACAACCAATAAATTTTATTTACATATATAGGGCTGAATTTTTATTCAACTTTCTTCATATAAGGTCTGTATTTTCAATGGTAGGTAACTGTGAGATGCTTTCTCATAGAAAGACTAAATACTCTTTCACTTAGGACAGTTTGGATGGTGCAAGTTTGTCTCCATGCAGAGAACAGAATACAGTTAGTACTCTCATAAACAACGACGACTGAGCTCCACTGTTAGCCTCCTGCCTGCAGGCCACATCAGTTATCCCAACAGCTGACTGCTTGGTTTGCATACATGATAGCTGAGAGGAGAACAGAAAACAAATGTAATTCTGAGGACCTGGAAAGAGAATTCTAATACATTAACCCTCACTGCTACTAAGGCGAAATTTTTATATTGGATTCATTTCTTCCTTTTAAAGAACACTGATTTTTTTTCCAGTGATATTTTACTTTAAAAAGGTATCTTACTTCTTTAACCCTCAGAGGACTGATACATTTAGGCAACAATCCAAAAAAAATAATCAGAAGTATGTATGTTTGCCCAGTGTCTCCAGAGGGTTAAAGTCAGGAATTTTCTGTGACTTGTAATACAGGAGCACCTTACTCCACTTTTTTCTTAAAAGAAACTTTTTCTTTGGTTTCCTGTAATTTTTCAGTGAGTCTATCCTTTGTCTCTTCCATTTTCTCTGTGATGAGCTCCTTGGTCTCTTCCATCCTGTCCTGTAGATACTCCTTGACAGGCGGCGGGGTCGACATGTAGCCACGACTGCGCAAATACTTCACAGTAAAGGATGTTCCTCCTAAGGTCACAGTGTAGCGGGCCGGTGTTGCAATCTTAAGAAAAAAGTAAACAGGCAGATAAGCATGTGATTATGCCTAAGGAAAGTGAAGTTGAAATTTAAATTCTTGGTAATAAGTAATCAGTACACATTTATCAATTGACAAGGCAAAAGTAACATCCTAAATGATCTTCCTTCCTAACAAGGGGTGCTTCTGCTACAAACTCATTTTATGAATGTCTTTCCCCAGGCAACGTGATCCAGAATTTCAGAATTTTCACAGCTGGCAACTCTGAGGTCATTAGCCACAGGTTAGTGAGCCTGGGTGCAGGTTCACCTGGGTATCAGAAAGAGGGAGCAGTACCACTAACATTAACACAGGCACCTCCATTTCTGTGCCTGAAAGACTGGGCCAGGTACTTTATATCTAGCTAAACTAAGAGTCAAACTTCTTCAAATGTTAGGAGATGGAGCAAGAGTCAAATGTTTCTTTGCAAGATTCAGGTTTACTCTACTGCCAAATTCTTTTCTCTTGACTCTTCCAGGCCATGTGCTGCCTTCTCCTCACAATCTGCTCAGGGTCTGGAATCCCAACCAGCAACTTCATGAGATCACAGAATAAAATGGTGCCCATGACAAACAGACCTGCTCTAATTGTGTCCAGAAATTTAAGGACCAAAACCCAATAGGAGATGAAATGGCCAAAGGAAGTGAAAAAGCAAAGGGGTACATCACATGCACCCAGCCATCTCTATAAGCGAAGGAACTACCATGTGCCCCCAGTCAATTCCAATTCTACCTTTCCTTCTTTCCACCACACCTCATTTTAGAGCTCTGCCTGAAGAAAGCAAGGCATCTCTGTCTGCTGTTCTACTTGAGGAAATGTGATTTATACAGAGGAAGCACACCCCAGAATTACACCCCACAGAAGGCCAACATGGAGAAGAAACACTGCTGGCCCATCTGCCTTGGTATACAAACTTTCCCAAAGGTGCACTGAGCCTTGCTTTACCTACAACACACCATAGTAGGTGCAGTGAAAAACACAAGAGAGAAGGAAGATATGACCCTGAATTCCAGGGAACTCAGAATCAACGAGATTGTAAGATTAAGGAGATTATCACAATTAAATACCACCATTTACAATGTCTTCCCTTGCAAAAGACCCAAAGGTGTAGAAACTATAAAGGCAATGTCTCTACCCAGAGAATAGTTATAGACTATAAGCATCTAACATGAGAACATCTAACTAAGCCTAATGTGAATCACATAAAAGTTTGAAGTAAACTGTACTGTTTGCTAAGATGAACCATTACAAACAGTAAAATAAATATTAAATTTCATTAACAAATTAGGTGGTGTGAGGATCTCTAAGAAAAATTAAATCACAGATCAGTGGAGTAAATGCCAAAAACATGACTACTACTTTGGAAATACACAAGTCTAACATCTGCTTGCTCCTGGCTAATGATGATCTACCTATTTTTAAGGTACTTTTCCTAAAGCTATCATTTATACTTTAAAATGTTATAACCTTACATTAGATATATAAAAGATGAAATACAATGTTTTAATCACACATACAAACTATTAAGAGCTAACAAGGTTAGCAGGTTCCAGGCAGCGAGCAGGTATGGTGAAGAGCAGTTTTCTGAGCAATACCCACCTTAAACATGGCATACGCCGTCAGGGCGTTTCCACTCTGGGAGTTTTTCAGGATGTTTACTACACTGTCAGGTAACCCAACGAGCTCTAGGAAAGGGATGACATTCACGCCTCTGAAACACAAAGTAAGTTACATATAAGTAAGCTTTAAGGACAAAGATTTTCAATAAAGTATTTGAAAACATCCAAACTACAAATTTGTCATAATTTAAGTAAATTTTGTTTGCTCAGGAGGCTGAGTTGAGTTAAAGGGGAAGGAGAGTTGGAGGCCAGCCTGTGTTACATGGAGAGGACCTGTCTCAAGAAAAACAAAAAGCAACAAAAATATGCTTGAGTTGGTTCTGCATTATCAAGCACTTTATTTTAATTCTTACCATACACAACCAGTCTTGCTTTATTTCAGCACCTGCATGTGAGCATCCTAATTAATATATTTTAGAAAGTACAAGCATTTACTACAGCAAAATGAAAAGATATAAGAAAACTAAGAGAACAGGAGCAGGATCATTTACTTAATCTTTATTTCCTCACCCAAACACCACTCCCTTACAATGCTCCAACTCACATTTCAAGACCTAAAATTTTTTCCTTTAAAATTTCATAGTTATGCTATACTATTATTGCATAAGCAGGAGGTATTTTAACACCACTACTATGCAAAAAATACAGGACACTGTGGGTCTGACAAACATTTATTTTAAAAGGATGCTTCTATTCTATTATTAGACTAAAAGGCAGGTAAAGAACAATTACTTTAAACTGCAACAAGTTCTTGGAGGGAGGGAGAGAAGGCAGGAAGCCTGGAATTTTGTATTTTCAGTTTCCACAATGAGAACATTTTGTGCACATCCCTTGTCCTTAAGCTTTCTCACTATGCATGTTTTACAGATATTATGATCCGACATACCCCTAAGTCAGAACAAGGACATTTCTCTATACAAACTTAATGTAACTATCATAATTGGGAAATTTAACATATACAACAGCATGTAGTTGAAACAAAAATGTATTACTTAATATAAAATCTACATTAAAATTTCCTAAACTGCCCTAGTACTCCCTTACTGGTATTTTTCCTCTCTAGTCTCCTCCCTAAAAGTGCTTCCCAGCACCTCTTGCTGGGGAGGATAATAGGATGTCTTTTTTGGTATGTATATTTTTGAGGAGTATAGGCCAGCATCACCCAGTCTGGGATTTTCATTGTTTCCTCATGACTGGATTCAGGCTCAATATTTTCTTATTGGCAAGTAACACAGAGCTGCATCTGTCTCAGAGCATAACATCACAGCAGGGGCACTAACAACCTTCAGTCCCATCCCTGACACTCCTGAACATGCCTCTTGGTTAGAACAGGACCCCAAGATTCCACCACGACTGTATCTTTCCATTTGTCATTAAGAAAGGAAATTGCCTGGAACCATTATCATTGGTAGCTGTAAACTTTTATTTTTTAAAAAATAATTGGGTTAGCTGGGGAAAAGGTGCCTCTCTCTGATTTCACATAATACTACACAACCAGGGATATTACTCTCTATAGATACTGCTGTTAATTATTGAGGAAGAACCATTAAAATTACCTATCATCAAAAATCAGATGAAATCACAACAACATAAAGAGGTAAATTTAAGGCAATATTCAGTACTAGAGTTAGACTTTCTATGTATCTAATCAAGTCACTAAAGAAGTCACTAAGTAACTATATATGGTAAAATCCTACCATAATGTACTAGTTTTCATTTTCTGGCATTAAAAAATTATGAAATGATTTCACTAATCATTTCCTACTTCTAACCAAGCCCAATGAATAAAATCTATACATTTAACAGCAATCATGAAAGAAAAAGACACATTTAGCCAAATATAAAAGTGAGTAATGAATGAAAGTCTTTATCATAAAGATGAGACAATAATAAAACTCATCTAGTTCCACCTATTTTATTTTGGCTGCTGGTAGATGTGCACCTTTAGGAACTTGAGGTCCCAGGCACAAGGCATCTGAAGGTAAGGACAACACTGTCACTGTTGAGCCACCTGTGATCAGACAGAGCACTTCTGATCAGAGGACAGAGTTCTGCAAGTTTCTGTCAGACAGCAGTGGCCAGGAAGCTTAATGTAAAATAAATTTATTACCATGTACAATAAAATATTTTAAAAATCAGAAAACTTTATGGCTGAATTAACAGAGAACTACTTTTAGTTATTTATTTATTTTTTAAGAGAATGACATTTTGCTCTCTGGTACCTAGAATGGCAGCAATGCTGACTGCTGGAATAACTCAAAACAAACTCTTGTCGGTAATGTGGTGTGATACCATATGCCCATTCTTCCGTTCTTCCAACTATGAAATATTTCCTCCTTTTCTTTCTTATTTTTTTCTTGGCAGTACTGGGGTTTGAACTCAGGGCCTACACCCTGAGACACTCCACTAGCACTTTTTTGTGATGGGTTTTTTAAACTACTTCCCTGGCTGGCTTCAAACTGTGATCCTCTGATCTCTGCCTCCTGAGTAGCTAGGATCACAGGCGTAAGCCACGGTGCCTGGCCTTTTCTTTTAATGGTAAGTAGGTAACCAGTAACTAAGAGATTACTTTTTTCAGTTAAGACAAAACAAAACCAAAAAAACCCAAAAGACTAAAATATAACTAGCCTTTTGTTAGATGAAAAACTGGTTTTTAATACAATCATCTTCAATTTCACAATAAAACCATCTCACAGGGAGTGATATGTTGCCATTTGAACATGCTCTAATTCCTTTCTCTTTTATTGATTAGCTTTATTTTCTAATAGATGATTAAGTCTTCACTTAGAACTCATCAACTTTCAATTTTTGAAGATTAAAGATCTACTAGAAACATTTATTTAGGACGACAGTTCTGGAAGCAGAACATCCTGAGTAACATAAATCAGATGTGTGAGGCTGTCACAGAGCTGGCCCAGTATTTATGACTGGGCAGTGAGTGGTGGTCTGGCAACCAGACTCTAGATGACAAATAACAAAGCAAGTTGTGATGGCTGAGGGATGTGATTTTAAAGCAGACAGTCTCCCCCTCATGGTTAGACCATGCACTGTACAGAAAAGCTAAGAAAAAAGCTAGGAAAGACACATTTCATAGTGGATGACAGAATCATCCCCACAGCTACCTCAGATGCTCTGAAGAAATCTGAAGTGCAATTAGTATCACTGAATTATCTTGGGTCTGCTTTTATAGTAATAGAACTTGCTTACCAAAGAAGGTAAGGAAAAATAAAAGGAACAAAAGAATTCTTAACAGCCTCCCAAAGAATCTCATTTTCAATTTTAAAACCAGAAGAAACTATTACTCATGTCTTATATTCCACAACACTGAATCACAAAAATCCTCAGATGCTCAAGAAAATAAAACAACACTTAATATCCAAAAAGCCATGCATTAAGTAGCAGTACTGAATGCCTATAAGAATTTTTATTAAAAATGGTACACAACTTTATTTTCTGTCAAAAAACTAAGGGCACTTTTGAAGACTTCTATAAATATTAAACATGTTCAAAAAATGTCTTTAATAAAGAACTAATTCCATACAGTGCATATATAAGGATCTCCTGGAAGGAAAGGTAAATTCTTAAATAAAATGAAGCACGATGGAGAAAGACATAATGAAGAGAGAACAGAACAGCATTGATTATACAAAATAAAGAAAACCTATCCTTTTAGAACTTATGTAAAGAAAGAAAACACCCTGTATATTCTAAGAATAATAGTCTCCACCCCACCATCTTGGGGCAGACACTTTTCATTTAGCAGTGATCAGCCTCTCCCATGGAGTAAGCTCCATGTACACAACTACAATATTTTATTAATGCCTTTCAAACCACTGAATATAATCAAACACTAAAACGCAGCAGATTTTGGAAAGTGCAATTCTAAACTCATTAGGAGAGTTGACTAGGTAGTAAAGTCACCCACATCATCTCCATGATGCTCAGGCCCCTGAGAACTGCTGGTGCCCATGCTCTCCAGCAGGTGACCAACATGACTTAAGAGTAAGAACTGTATCTAACAAGAAAGATGCACATAGAAGTATTACATTCTACAACACTGGGAAATGAGGCTGGGCCCTCAGCCTCACTTCTGATAGGAACAAAAGACATTCCTGTGACATTTATCAGAGTAAGTAATCACAAAGCCTATGTCTGTAATTGCTTCACTTTTGTGTTTACAGAAGATAGCAGGCTTTGGCAAAAAGTATCTTATGAATTTGCCCCAAAAACCATATACCCAGCAAAATAAATATCTGTACATTTATAAGGTACTAACATGTAAGTATTGAACTCCTGGTGTTGCCAAATTTCTGAAACCTGGTACTTTCTTTCTGGGCTCTCCAGCACATGCAGATGCTTTGAGCACAGTGATGAGGACTGCAGCTTTGAGATGAGACACATCAACCTGGGTTTCAGGTCAGTTCCAACTCTTACTAGTGGAAGTAATTTCACTTCACGTGGCCTAAGCTCATTCATAAGTAGGAAGAACCACACTATCTACACTTCACTTGGACACTGTGAGGATTAAATGAGAATGACAGTTAAAAAGTGAGCAAAATGTTCACTTTTTTGATATGCAACAAGCAAATGTTAGCTATTCTTACTAAAAATGTGAAAAAACAGCTACAAAGAATAGTTACTCTCCATCAATGAACCACATTCAGGAAAGATTTAAGGCTATCATTAGTATATAGTTAAAAATATTACTACTGCGATAAAACACAGAAAGCGGTCAATAAGCAAAAACTTACTTTATGGCTGCATAGTAAAATGTTCCAAACCAAACACCAGAAGTTACTAGATGCACAGGAATCAAAACTTTCCCATACTGTCTAAATGTTTTCTTAAATCGCTGATAAAGGCTCATAGATTTGTCTTGTAAAGGATCAGGTTCTTCCTTTTTTTCAGAAGGAGTTCCTTGGGATGTAGCACTGGATGATAAACCCTCTTGGATAAAGCATCCTGCTCCCACGGTTTGTGGCGAAGGACCCCTGGCTGGGCTGGCTGAGCATCCAATGGCTTCCATTCCTTTGCAAGGCACTGGGAAGCAGGTAGTGCAGCCATTGCTTTTGAGAGCACGGTACCCAAACCACTTTGGATTCAGCACTATACAGAAGTAATGATCCCTGTAGGTTCTGACGGTGTCCAAAGAGACCAGCTTTCTGTGGCTCCAAGCATGTCCTGTGTGCCAGCCGAGACATAGACCGTGTACATTCCATTGCATCTTGAAGGATGGTGATGGATTTCAGCTTCTATGACTAGATTTTAAAAAATTGGTTGATTACATATACATTTGCATTTTAAACCAATCCACTTAAAATTAATCATTTAACAACCATTAGAAAGTAAAAGGACTCTTTACCCAATCCACAGGAATTTAGGTTAAGGTACACAATTATAAGTCACTGCGATTTTAAATTACATTATAAGTAAAAAAGGGATATTTGTAGGGTCTATATTATTATGCAAAGAGGTAGTGTAGCCCACACCTGCGTCCAGGTGTCGTGGGATGTAATTCCATGCAAGTCCCTGTCAGACTGCAAGCCCAATCCACTATAAGATGAGGACAGGGTTGTAACAGAATCATATGAAACTTCTGAGGTCAAGTGCTGTGTAAACTGAATGAATATCACCAAAGTTAATATCACAAGTATGATTACCTGGTGAATATTTAATATCAGCGCCATCTGTTCTACCAGGCCTGGATAGTAAGTTACATAAAACTGTAAATCATGTTTTTGGAAGGTTTTTTATCTTCTCCCCTGCCCCAATATCGAAAGGAGAGAAAGAAAATGTACAGTGATATGTGGCTTGACATCAATGTAGAATTAAGAATGACAAGATCCTTGGAGGCTGAGGCAGCCCAGAAGGATTGCCAGCTGGAGACCAAAGTGGGCCTGCATAGGGGAGACTGTTTCAAAAAACAAAAACAAAAACTGCAAAACAAGAAAGCCAAGACAAATTAGACTTTTCTGGATAGCAAAAACTTTTTTTTCCAGAAAGATAGTAAAATATAATTTCAAAAGAATATGGACTTTGGAATAAGACAAACCCAACTGAGTTATCAGTATTTTGAGCAAATTACTTAGACTCTTTAGATGCGTGTTTCCAACTGGTAGATGGAATTACAGAGCCATTACTAACAGTAAATCGGCCCCTGCTGCCAAACCTCCAACCCACCCCATCCCAACTATTTTACTACTTCCAATATGTTGAAAACACATGATCTTATTTTTTAATAAGATTTGAATTAGCACTCCAATAAATACAGATGCCTCACTTTACACAAAGATTCAGATCCTGGGTGCACACTTGATTGGGAAAGCAAAACTATTATATTAAAAATCTTCATTAATGAATTCTCCAGTTATAACATTAATCCCTGTATTTCCTCCCTAATTAATAATTAACATTGGCTCCTATGACTCTCCAAATAATCCAACACAGCAAATGAGTTGCTAAGTGAAACAAAATGTAAAAGAGGTTCTTGGAAGCCTTCAAAAGTTATACTGAGCATGACTATACCCCACCACTCAGAAGGCTCAGGCAGGAAGATGTAAGTTTGAGGCCCACCTGGCTACATAGTAAGACCCTATCTCAAAAAACAAAAAGCAATGCTGGAGATTTCTACTATCATATAATGAAAAGCAAAGTTGGTAACAAATAAGAATCTAGAGTATCAGACCAGTTAACAACCAAGCAGAAAAGCAAAGGGATAGTATAACAAGAGTGAGTTAAATACAAAAGAACCAAAAAGTCACAAAGAAAAATTAGGCTCTGAATTATTTTTTCAAAAGTAACCCTCTCATATTTGTTGAGAACATTGAACATGAGTAAAGGCTGATTGTATCTCCAACAACCTGTTTCTGCACTTACAAATCTACACTATGCCTATGCAAAAGGAAGAACACTGACTGCTTATTTATTCTAAGAATTAGCTTGGATGGAATTACTACTAAAATTTGTCAAGTGTAAAGTGGTTTCATTTAACAAAACTCCTTCCAAATGTTTAGTATGAATTTCTGGTTGGCTTCCTATAAGAGGTCTTTGTTCAGTACTGCTGTCTTCCAGTAAGTCCTGGCTATGGCATTAGCACAGGTGTTTTCTAAACCCAGAGAGCTTTTTTCTTTTAAGTCTGCTTTTTTTACAGGACAGTATTCTAGGAACAGAAATTCCCAGAAGTCTAACTCTCAGATAACAAGATTATGTTTTGTGTGAGTATATAAAAACAAAGAAAAAGGTTTTTTAAAAAGCCTTCTTCCAAGTTTCCAGATTCCACCCTTACTCTGGTTTCCCCAACCGTGCATTCCTTTCCAATTTTTCAATAATAACAATTCACTCTAAGGTGTGGAATTTTATACATTCACAGCTATGTAACCTTCACATTGATGTTTAGAACAATTTCATCACTCAAAAAGGAAACCCCACACCCATTACCAGTCACTTACCATTCCCTGACTCCCTTATCCCCAGGTAATCACATCTATCTTCCCATTTGTTTCTGTTTTATTACTACACACTCTTGTGTAAAAGAAACCATAAAATGTGGTCTTCACTGGCTAGCTTCTTTCCCTTAGTGTATTATTTTCAAAATTCACCCTATTACCTTGTTCCTTATAGACCTCCAGCTCAGTGAATTCAAACCTGACATTAGAAATATATGGGAAGAGGAAGAGGCAGGAGTGGGTGCCAGAATGGCATTAATATACAGATTTTCTGGGTGTTTAGATTTAATAAAAGTTGAAATAAAGTACTGAT